AGCAGGGAGGTCATTTGCGCAGCCAACGATCTACTATTGAACAACGAGATTCACCGTGAGCCGTGAATTTAATCCCACTTGGGTCGATTTACTCGCAGTCAGGTCGCTGTATCTGTAATGGTGGATTCCATACGAGCAGTAATTTGGGCGGGTAAATCGATCCAGGTGTTAGTAAATGCGCGGCTCACGATGAACCTTGTAACTCAGTAGTAGACTAGATTCTCTACCATTTTAAATGTCAACCGAAATTCAATTCAAACAAATTGGTTAAGTAAGGTGGTAGTATTGACTATAATATAGCCTACTCTCAATATATTTCATTCATCCCAGGATGTAGGCTTTTGAACGAGCTTCTTTCTGGCTGCCTGCAAAAGGTATACTGGCCAATTGCGTAGCATTTATTTTGCGCCCTGCTTTTCAACGCCCTTATATATTCAAATATATTTTATAGAAAATAAGCACAAAAATATTCTTGCCTGTACCCGTTTGGTTGCAGATTACGCCTTCTTAAAATTTTATGCCTGAAGAAGGGGTATCTTTTGGCTTTAAAAAAAGAGTTTTCGTGGCCGACACCGACTTCAGGCGGCGATCTCATGTCGCCTCCACCCGTAGGTGACAATTGTTCACTTCCTGCACGTGATTTTCACTCTGCATACTCGACCCATGACCAATGCTCACAGCCTACCCTTCCCTCCCCCTCCCCTCTCCAGTCCAATGACCTCTACATGCCGATCTCGCGATACGGCGGAGTGAAAATGATGCAACAGTACAGGTCCGATCAGGAATTTCCGAGAAAATATGTTCGCGAAATATAGTTCTCAAATTATGAGATTGCTTACGACAGTGAAAGGTTCATTCATAACGTATCCTATCCATAACGTATAAACCACGATCCACATCCTTTGCAAAATTGTATGAGGACTACGCGTTCTCTTCCTCATACTGACGGAAAATATGTGCCTTTCCTTAGATAGTATTTATACCGCATGTGGTTTGGAAGGCTTGGATTTAAGCGTAACGGCCAGTAGTCTTCAGAATCGGTCGGCAATATAGAAATGTTTTCATAAACGAAGAAGACGCAACCTGCTACGAAAAAAGGACAGTTTTGTGCGTATTTTCTATAAAATATATTTAAATTTATAGGGGAATTGTAAATCAGTAAGAAAAATCCATACAACATGCGTAGCCATTTTTGCCAAGTATTCTCTTCGCAGGCGGTCAGAAGGAAGCCCGCCCAAAATCCGGCATCCTGATGTGACTGAAGTATCTAGAGAGTGGTCTGTACGATAATCAATATGACAGCCCTTCTTATGTAATTTGTCCGAACTGAAACCATATTCCAGAATTTCGGATGGCATTTCATGATATAGGGAATCTACTGTCATTTCGTTGATCAAGCTCTCACAGTTTCAATTTTTAAACTACAAAAATTAGTATTTTCCACTTTTAAAACAATTCTAAATTGCTTAAATCCTACCGACCGTTACACTTAGATGGAAGGTTTTAAGACTACATGGTGTATACATTCTAAGGAAAATCACATTCCTCTAAGCTGTGAGAAAGAGAGAGGGTACATAGTTCCCACAAAATTTGGGCTGTAGATCATGTTGTCCACTTTAAAGACGAAATTAATAAATTATTAAATATTCTGTTCTATAAATGAACATCTCATGAGGTAGGGAATCTACTGTACGTTGACGGCGGAGCATAGGACGAACTACATAGCAAGTTCACTTTCAGATACTATGTGAGACGCGCAGTATCACCACTGCCATTGATTGTAGAGGCTTGTACGTCTTCGAAAGATCCAAAATTAGAAATGCGCGCGTCTTGAAATTATCCCCCTCTTCGGATTGAAGAAAATTCCTCTTGGAAGATCTATAACACGCCGGGTCCTCAAAAGGCTAAACCCAGACGAATCCTCGCGTCCCTAAACCACTGTTTGTTTCTAAGTATTTAACAGTACTCTGGAGTCGACGATGATTTTTCTGGTTAGAGTAACAGCTCCCAGCCGCATCAAACGAAAATAACCAACAACAGATATACAGGAAGACAAGTATTTGGCGATACTACTGAAAAAAGATATGCTCATCGCTTTTATTAGCTGCCTATTAGAAATAAGTAGGTTGTTTCTCAGACAGATATATATATAGAGGCAGAAAGGCAACCGCATCTATTTACGTGGTGCAATGAAAACGCCAGGAATGCAGAGTGTAATATATAATGCCCCGGAAAATATGCACCTGTACATCGTCGATCCGATACTATTGCCTGATGCAAATGTGGTGGGCTAGGCCCACCGGTGGGTATTCGGAATTTCTGCTGTTAAGCGATCCGTGCACCTTGCTGGCATATGCGCACAGGCACAGGGTTATTCGCCCAACCAGAAGAAGCAGGAGTCCGGAAGAAAATTTCACTCTCCACTGCACTTGCACATTAGGACGAGCGGATGGATTGTTATGCTTGAGAGGACGCCCGAATGTACATATGAATTAGTGCAGGCGGAAACATCGTGTTGAAGGCGAGGCGTTGCGTTTATCTTACCTCTTAATTTAGGTCAAGATAAATGTGGACAGAAAAGGCTATTTCTGGGACGCTGTGCGTACACATGAATCCCTTTTCTCCTTCACTTATCGCTTACCTCCCTTGAACTAAGGGCGTAATTTATTCTGTGACAGGGCTGGTTGACGATAGTAGAAACCGTTTCAGGTCGGAAAATATGGATTGAGCTTGACAAAAATGCTAGCAATATCATCGTGGTTGAGCTAACGGCTCATCAGGTAAATTAATTTTGTAAATCAATAAAAACAAGGAGCTGTGAAATTATTTAAAACAGAGGACTTGGTCGTCCGTTCTGACAAATGATAGTATTTTAAAATGCTACCTTACAGTTGTACACCTGGAGGAGTGAAATTAATACATAAGGATATTTTAATTACTACTCAGAAATAAGTTAGCTAGGGGCCAGAGATATATTTCCCAAAAACATGAAAATAAATTCTTTCAGTGCAGAAGTAGGAAGTTTAGATAGAAAATCCAACAGTTTCCACGGTCAGACATCGGTGCTTAGGTTATTAAAATTTAATCAAGTGGAGGAAATTGCCAAACAAATCTTTGCACAATGAAGAGAGCTGGAATATTCCAGACTAATCCGACAAGTGTAAGTGGAATCATAACTAGTAGAATCTCCCCAGTGCTTAGTTTGCATTGCAAAATTGAGCGCACCTTTATTCTCTATTGGAGATAAGACTCCACAACCGAACCTTGAATTAGTTGGGCCGGCGAACAAACGTACTGGATGTTACAAATGCTAAACGAAAAGATTAGTTCTATAGTTGTCAACAAAAGAACGCGTGATGGAGACCATCCTTCCTAATAAGGTAATTAACAATACGGTTTATTCCTAGACATTTTTTACCAACAGGTTTCGTTAGGGAGCTACAGGGGCCCTGTGATTGTGCAAGATCATGGAGTAATGGAAGCGAATAAATAAATGAAGTGCAGACATGTCCATTCACCCAATTGAGAAAAAACAGGGAACTTGAATTCAGAGTAAAATTAAATAATGCGTCGAAAAGTTATGAGCAAAGACTAAACTAAGTGCTCAAATAATCATCCGAAGTGGAGTCTGCAGTTTCCATAATAGGAAACTGGAAAGTGAACGTTCCCTTCACGCGTCAAACGACTGTCTCCTGAAACCAACGAAGTACATCGTACATGATGACCCTGTTTAAAAAATTACATCTGCAACTGGATTTTAAGGTGAAAGTTTACTTTCTTCTATTCGACCATATATTCTAGTCTAGAGTGGGATATAGCTTGGCTGAAAGACGAAATGTCCGGTCTTTAACAACAACTGCTGGCTTTTTTGCTAAACCCTAATGGGAAAAGCCTAAATGACCTCAGATGT